TCTAGCTGGAACTCTTGAAACCCAAGTGCCTTGCTGTTCTGATTTCCTAGGCTTTGCATAAACCTCTGAAGCTGGGGAGGAAGCTCCTTCTTGCTGGTCTTTCCCACACTGTTGAAAAATAGCTGATCTGGGAGGATTTGTGGTGAATAATATTTCAGGGCCTGATGGTTTTAAGTAGAATTATGATCAGTTCCTTATTAGCATTTTGCTAAACATGAGTGATGATCCTGGCATTTGCTGCCTACATACAGAAGCATCTGTGCTGACCTTGTTCCCCTCTATGGATCTCAGGACTTGCGGAGGAGAGAAGCAGAGAGGAAGGATGGGGGAGTAGGGACAGGGTCTTCATTGTCTCCTTTTGTAATTGAAGGGACGGTAGCCTCTGAAAACCAACATTTTTCTGTCCCCTTGCTCCCTGAAAAGGAGGGTAGGTGGTAAGAATGGCCTCTGTCAGTGTGGAGAGCAAAACCATTGAACTCCCACTTGGTTGATCCCAATGTCAACAGGACTTGAGTAACTAGGTGCATAATATTCACGTGAAGGGAAAAATAAAACCGGCAAGAATGGGTGAAAAATAGAAAGTCCACGGTCCATTTTCAGAATATAGTATTTAGTGGGATGATATCAAACTAAAAAGCTTCTTTGCAGCAAAGGAAACAAATTGTGGAGAAAAAGATTCACTCAAACTTCGCTAGTGGGACTGAAAATTGGTACAACCACTCCGGAAAGCTGTACGGAGATTCCTCAGAAAACTTGGGATGGAACTGTTGTAGGGACAGATGAGGCAGGGCACCTAAGACAGCAGGAAACAGTTTTATTTGTCTGCAGCCAGGTTCAGAGGGCAGTGCTTTCGCTCTAAACAATCATTCCCCTGAACCCCGAGTTAAGGGAGTTTCAGAACGCTGGGTATCAGCGTGTAAGGGGAGGGGCTCAGAAGTTCACAGTCTGCAGAAGTTCACATAAAAGCAGTTTCTTCTTTCTTTGTTCTTGGCAAGTTAACCCTTCAAGGACAACACCTGAGAAGGGGAGAGCTTCTTCTCCCCTTTCTTTCCTTCCCTCCCAGCTATTACCGTGGAGCCCAATTGATAATTTCTCTTAGAAATGTTGCCATCTCTGTGAAGCCCAGGTCAAGGCCAGAGGCCTTGTTAAAGGATCTTTTTTTTTTTTTAATCACATTTTGCATTTGCAAACACACTTCTACAAACTACTATACTGGACAAATTTTTGTGAAAAAACTAGTAAAAGGATGTTCAGCACTTGGAGTGCTGATTTCTTCCAGGCCAGTGGCCAAGTAAAATAAAGCAACACGAAAATAGGAAATTTACCTACATTGAACTCTTTTGCAGAGACTCTTTTGCTGATACTCCTAAACTCAATTATGGTGAAGATATCTGGAAAAGCTTAGTTAAGATTTTCTGTGGAGGAGGAGGTGCCACTACAGAACCACCCTTTGACCCAGTTACCCCCAAGTGTGCTTGCTTACCAGGCTTTGGTGGTAGTGCACCCTTCTTTTGCAGAAGGAAATCTTGCATTGCTGAACTACTTCTGAGTACATGTCTGATTTCTTGTGACTCCCCCGTATTTTTTAAAATATCTTATTTCTTTTTAGTTGTAGTTGGACACAATATCTTTATTTTGTTTATTTTTACATGGTGCTGAGGATTGAACTCAGGTCCTCACACATGCTAGGCGAGCGCTCTACTGCTGAGCCACAATCCCAGCCCCCCTCCCCCCCATATTTTTTTTAATTGTTGCCGCAGCCTGGAGCCGCCAAAAAGCCTTGTAGGTTCAAAGAGCAACTCACCGGCACTCTACACACACTTCCCAGGAACACACTCCCTCCACCAGGCTCCGAGGGCGCCAATTCTCCCGTAACACCCCCCCCCCCAACTCCAAAGTAGCGGGTGCCTCAGGCAGCAGGATCCGCCCTAATCCCAGAGCAGGGTCACCTTTCAACCATTCCCTCTAGCAAAATGCCTGGCATCATTCCCACTAAACTGTGGCTCTCAACATATTGTCAATGGACCTTTAATTTATTTATTTATATGTGTTGCTGAGAATCGAACCCAGTGCCTCACACATGCTAGGCAAGCACTCTGCCGCTGGGCCACAACCCCAGCCCCAGACACCCCCAGAATTTCTAACAAATGTACTTTAAGTTTTTAAAAAACTGCTATTTTCTCTTGGGATGCTGAAAGACCCAGAATTCTCTGGTTGTCACTATATAAATAACTTGGTGGGCAGGGGCATGATAATTGTGTTTAGCACAACAGCAAGTCAAGTGAGAAGAAGAGGAGAAAAAAATATTTTCCCCATTAGAGAGGACATTCTGGTTTAATAAAACTGTAAAAAATAGGCTGCCTCTCCTCTGATTTAGGGAACAATCAGTTCCCCACTCCGAAGCCTCTGAGCCCTGTTATCAGAAGGAAAGTTCATTTTATAAAATCTCTCATTTTGATGACTTCCTCTTTTTATTTAATTTCTTGAATTAGATTCATCTCAGCTCAGATGGAAGCACCCCGAAAACATCTAGCCATGACATTGACTAACCACGAGCCGACTGTTCTCTTGGGGCTTTGAGGATTCAACAATGCTAATGGTCACCTGGTCAGGAGCCCCACAGAATAGAGCTGTCATTAAAACTAACTGTGGGCCAGGCATGATGGCACATGCCCGTAATCCCAGCAGCTCAGGAGACTGAGACAGGAGGACCATGAGTTCGAAGCCAGCTTCAGCAAAACTGAGGTGTTAAGGAATTCAGTGAGACCTTGTTTCTAAATAAAATACAAAACAGGGCTGGGGGCGCTGGGGTTGTGGCTCAGTGGTAGACTACTTACCTTGCACATGTGAGGCACTGGGTTAGATCCTCAGCACCACATAAAAATAAATAAAATAAAGGTATTGTGTTCATCTACAACTAAAAAAAAAAGATAAAATATGTATATATTTTTTTAATATTTATTTTTTAGTTATCAGCGGATACAACATCTTTGTTTGCATGTGGTGCTGAGGATCGAACCCGGGCCCCACTTGAGCCACATCCCCAGCCCCTAAAATAAAAAATTCAAAAAGGGCTGGGGATGTGGGTCAGTGGTTGAGTGCCCCTGAGTTAAATTCTGGTACCCTCCCCCCCAAAAAAATCAAGAAAGTTAAAAGATCATTTGGGTTTTTATGCTGTGTTGGTGGGAATGGAACACACTGTAGCCAATGTGGAAAAGAGGATTGAACCCAGTGCCTCACATGTGCGAGGTAAGTGCTCTACCACTGAGCCACAACTCCAGCCCCTCTTTTTATTTTTATTTTTTGGTACTGGGGATTGAATTCAGGGGTATTTGACCACTGATCCATATCCTCAGCTGTAGAGGGCCACAGCTGATTCAGGATGACACATGGCATATTGCCAGAAGGGAGTGGTTGGAGCCATTGACATGATGATGGTTATGTTAAGCTGTGTATTCAATTGTATATTTGACCTTTACTGTCTGGCTATAGGGCGGCTCTTGCTGCCTCCGCTGGAGTTCCCTTGGAGTTCTTGCAGGGTTCCAAGGGAGACTGCTTGCGGACCCCGGTGGAGGGTGATAGTGTTCCTGGGGAGCGTGTGTGGAGTGCTGGTGGAGTTCGGCAATAAAGAGTTGCTGTTTTGAACCTACAAGTGCTTCCTGGCGGCTCAGTTATTTGTGCCCAGCCAGACTGCGGCACTCAGCTCTATTTTGTATTTTATTTAGAGACAGGGTCTGAGTTGCTCAGTGCTTTGCAGTTGCTGAGGCTGGCTTTGAACTGTAGATTCTCCTGTCTCAGCCTCCCAAGCTGCTGGGATTACAGTCATGTGCCACTGCGCCTGGCTAACCATACATTCTTATAGATTTTATGACCAGGAAAAATTATTCTTATCTCCCTGGATTTGGGGATCTGGTCTGTGAAGAGTCACAAATGTCTCCCCCTTCAGGATAAGTTGGGTCACTCTTATCAACAATATTTCAGGCCTGCATTTCTCCTGCAGATAACAGGTAATTTGGTGAGAAATGTGACATATTCTGTCCATTTAAGCCAGGGAGGGCTGCAGGTAAATTGCTTTTTGGAAAGGAAAACATGTGGGGGTCAACCCAGTGGGCCCATTTTATAGAATTAGTCCCCTAAACTTGTGTTCTCACCATTGTCATCTGTCTGTGCCTTATCAATATATAGAGAGGACTTTATATTATATGAAATGTGCCAATCTGATAAGGACAAATACTGTAATCCCTTTATATGAAGTACTCACGGTCTAACTTTTTTTTTTTTTAAGTACTGGGGATTGAACTCAGGGGTACTAGACCACTGAGCCACATCCCCAGCCCCATTTTGTGTTTTATTTAGAGACAAGGTCTCACTGAGTTGCTTAGTGCCTCACTGTTGCTGAGGCTGGCTTTGAACTCCCAATCCTCCATGTGCCACCACTGGCCCCAGAGTCTAATTCAGAGTCAGAAAGAAACACTGTGGTTTCAAGAGATTGAGTAGAGTGCCAAATAATTTCTTTGGGCTGTGTGGTGTCTTAAGGTTTGAACCCAAGGCCTCTGGCATGCTAAGCAAGCTCTCGTATTACTGAGCCGAATCCCCAGTTCAGAAGTGGAGAGTTACTTAAGATAAGTATTAAGTTTCAGTTTTGGAAGATGAAGAGTTCTGGAAATCAGTTTTGCAATATTTAAATATATTTAACCTCAGAGAAGACACTTAAAAATGTCTTGAGGACAGAGGTCAGGGGTTGGGTGGGGCTCAGTGGTAAACAATTTGCTTAGCCTGAGGGCCCACGGCTACGTCCCCAACACCCCACCACACCCCAGCCTAAGCCAACTAGGCGACCTCATTCCCTGCTTTCAGTCACAGTCTAGGGGGCGTGGCCACGGAGGATGCCCACTCAGTATTGGGGCTGGAAAGCCGTGCGGGGCGGCTGCGCATGCGCCGGCGCACTTAGCTATGGGTTCTGGCCGCGTCCGGAATTTTCAGTTGGTTTCTGGGTTGTGCTCCTTTGTCGCGCTGTGACCTACAGCTGTTGAAGGACCCGAAGGAAGACTTTGGGAGACCCCAAAGGCGGGAAAATAGAAATGGTGAGTGCAGAGTTGGGGGCCCCAGTCGAGGGAAGACGGAGGTGGGAACGTGCGGAACCGGCCTGGGGGCGACGCCGCCTCCGCTCGTCGGCTCCGAGCGGGGCCGAGTCCGCCGCGGCGCCGCTCCCCGCGCGGTGACCGCCGGCCCGGAGCCCTCGCCGGGCAGCTCCGCCCGCGGCCCCGCGGCTCCCGACTGTGCCGTGACGGAATGGGGTCCTGTGTCTGGGAATTCATCGGGGTCACTACTGAAGTGACCGAGGCGAGCGTTTTCTCGCTCCGGGATGGATGCCTGCCGAGGGGGCGTTTCCTTGCCGCCCGGGGGAAGAAAACGCGTCGCCCCTCAGGCTTGACCCGGGCCCGCCTCCCCAGGGAGGCCCCAGCCGAGGGCTCTCAAGTTTGGGGACGTCCTTTACCTCTGCACTGGAATTGTGGGGAAGCAGGACCCTGTCGCAAGTCAGAAGTTTTGCATCTCTTTCCTTGGGTCCACCCCTTAATTCTATTTTTCCTTTGCACTTGGAAGTTTTTATTCAATTGCTTGATTGTGTGCAATGTTTAGTTTTGTGTGGGAGGAGATGAACCCATTGCGAGATGAGATGCCAGAAAGAGAGAAAATTCTGAAGCCGAAACTTTTTTTTTTTTTTTTAAGGAGAGAGAACCTCAAGATGTGAGATCAAGCTGGGGAATCTAGTTGAGTGATAAATGGTTTGCCTAGAGAGGCTCAAGACCCTTATGTGAGATCAGGGTACCAGGGTATTTAAGTTCTCTCCCCTCCCAGTCCGTGGCACTTCAAAAAAACTTAAATCACTTTTTTTTTTTTTTTGCATGTGAATGTCTATAGAGCATTTTCAAATTTTAAAAAGTACACTATTCGTAAGAGGATTGAATCCCCTAACTCCTTTTTTATGCAGTGTTGGAAATCGAATACAGAACTTCAGACATACTGCATTCCTATTTTGATTAATTTATTTTTCTAGGTGCTGCTGATGTAGGGGGGTGGCTGGCCCATGGTAGGTAACTGCTCTATCACAGAGTTCTGTCCCCAGCTCTGAACTACTGTTTTAAGTGATATGATGAAATCTACTAAACTCAATGTATATCTCTGAGAATTCTAGTTTATTTAAAGGGTTGATTTCCAAGCCTTAATGTGTACTATGCTACCTGTTCCTGATAGTATCATTCAGTGAAAGGAAAAACAATGATGCTCTTTTTTATTTCAGTTAGAAAGAAACTTGATTTTTTTTTTTTTTTTTTTTGTGTGTGTAAGGCTGTTTGTGATATTGGGGATTGAACCCAGGGCCTTGCATGTGCTAGGTAAGTGCTCTACCACTGACTTGATATCCCCAGTCCTTTTTTATTTTGATACAGGATCTTGCTAAATTGCTCAGTTTAGCCTCAAACTTACTTTCCTCCGGCCTCAGCCTCCTGAGTGGCTGGCATTGCAGGTGTGTGCCAGTGTATTTGGGAAAACTTGAAAGGTTTGCAGTTCCATTATTTTATTTTATTTTATTTTTTGGTACTGGAGATTGAACCCAGAGGCACTTTACCATTGAGCCACATTCCCAGCCCTTTTTATTTTGAGACAGTGTTTCACTAAGTTGCTTAGGGCCTCCCTAAATTACTGAACTTGCATTCCTCCTGCCTCAGCCTCCTGAGTTGCTGGGATTATAGCCACTACACCCTGATATTACCTTTTGATCCTTAGAATTTTCATGTGTCTGCTTGAAATTACCCAGGTATTCTTGCAAATTGGTTAGTGTTTCTGATAGAAACCTCAGCATATTTCCAGGAGCAGTGGTGCACACCTGTGCAGTGTGCTGCACACTTTCTAGCTACATGGAAAGCTGAGGCAAGTAGATGCAAAGTTAGAAGCCATCTTGGGCACCTTGGTGAGGCACTGTCCCAAAATTTTAAACACGTTGGGCAGTTGGGCATAGTAGCACATACCTGTGTGTGATCCCAGGGACTTTGGAGACTGACAGGAGGATGGCAAGGGACTCTGGAGGCTGAGACAGGAGGATGTCAAGTTCAAGGCCAGCCTCAACAATTTAGTGAGACCTTGTCTCAAAATAAAATACAAAAAGGGCTGGGGATGTGACTCAGTAGTAAAGGCCTTTGGGTTCAATCCTCAGTTTGCACTCCCTCCCGCACAATAAAGGAGGTGGCTGGGCAGCCTCTGCAACTTACCGACACCTGGCCTTTAAATAAAGTAAAAAGGCCTGGGAATGTAGCTCAGAGAAGCACTCTTGAGTTCAATCTGTCACTATGTGCCTAGCATGTGTGATGCCCTGGGGTCAATCCCCAGTAACTGCCCTGCCCCCATACACACGCACCTCACCATATTAGTCTTGTTAGGCTTGTTTTTTTTTTTTAAAAAAACTTTTTTGATATTTATTTTTTAGGTGTAGATGGACACAATACAACACCTTTATTTTTAAGTGGTGTTGAGGATCGAACCCTGGTCCCGCCCTTGCTAGGCGAGCGCTCTACCACTGAGCCACAATCTCAGCCCCTTGTTAGGTTTGTTTTAAATTTCTGGTCTAATGGTCCCCAGATCTGTTCTATATCTGAACTTGGTTCTGGAGCTTGTCTTCTCTTCAGACTGTGTTTGGAAAGTCTTTAGTATGCGTCATACATTCTTGTTGAATACTGGACATGCTGTACTTGAGAAAAAGAGTGGAAGAGCCTCAGGCCTTTAATATGAGGTTTTAGGTTTATCCTTCTGGGTTTAGCCGAGTTATTGTTTTCTTTTTTTTCTGTGGCACTGGGAATTGAAGCCACGAGTGCTCTACCACTGAGCCACATCCCCAGCCCTTTTTATTTTTTATTTTGAGACAGAGTCTTTATGAGTTGCTCAGGCTGGCCCTGAATTTGTGATTCTCAGTTTCCTGAGTAGCTGGGATTACAGGCGGGAACCATGGTGCCTGGCCTGGTGGTGCTATTGCAGTGTCAGAGTGTACAATTTCCTGGTTTTGCTTCACCTTTCTCTCCCCTAGTATTGCTAAACTTTGGTAAAGATGTTCTAACACCTGAAAGATGGGGAAAGAAATGGTAAATTTTTTTTTTACTGTATTTCACTATTATTAAAGGGAAATCCTAATGACACACTAGCAAGATTTGAAAACATTCTCAGGGCTTTGGACCCAGGGCCTCCTGAATCCCGGGCAAGTGCTCTACCACTGAGGTACACCCCCAGCCCTAGAGGCACAATAAATAGCTGGGAACACTTTCAGTGGCATGGAGTCCCTCACACAGCCCAGGCCTTACTGCAACTTGGATTTTCACAGGTCTCCTGGATTCTCATGTTTCTTGGTGAGAATAGTTTTTTCAAATTTGTTTTTATTTTAATTTTATAGTTTTAGTTGTAGATGGACACAATACTTTTATTTATTTTAATTTCTTTTTTTGTGTATGGGGCTGAGGATCAAACCCCAATGCCTCACATATGCTAGGCAAGTGCTTTACCACCGAGCTACAACCCCAGCCACAAGAATAGATCTTAAGGATGTATTTATTCATTGTATAATGAATAATGATCAGTTCTATGTTTCCTACACAGATAGGTGATGTACTATATAATGCGGAAATGACAGTCCCTCACAAGGGGTTGATTGCCTTAAATTTTATTTCATTTCAGTAGAATTCTTCTCATTTAGTCAAAGTGAATTGGGGGCCACTATTAGAAGGCAATCAGACATTCATTGACCACAGTGGAAGTGAAGAAGTAAATGTCTGTGTGTTCATGATTCTGCTAAATTTTATAAGAAAGTGAGATTTGGTGTTCTGACAACCCAGTTAAACAGAGAATGTTTGCAGTCATAGGGATTGAGGGCAGATCCACAGTGCTGTCATTCTCACCCACCCTTCTGCACACATGTGGGATGTTTTAGGACTCAGTGGCCTTTGAGGATGTGGCTGTCAAGTTTACCCAGAAGGAGTGGGCTTTGCTGGATTCCTCACAGAAGAAACTCTACCGAGATGTGATGTGGGAAACCTTCAGGAACCTGGTTTTTGTAGGTATGAATCACTTCATTTCTTTTCTTTTTTTTTTTAAGTTTTTTTTGTAGTTGTAGGTGGACAGCATGCATTTATTTTTATTTGTTTATTTTTTTTAATGTAGTGCCTCATACATGCAAGGCAAGCACTCTGCCGTGAGCTACAGCCCCAGACCTCATTTCTTGATTTCTTGATTAAGTTAAGAAGAGAGCAAGAGGGTTTTTTGGTGTTTTGTTGTTGTTGTTGTTGAGCCGGGGCACACTTTACCTCTCAGCCCTTATTATTATTATTATTATTATTATTATTATTATTTTTATTATTATTTGAGACAGGGTCTTACTAAGTTGCTTACAGCCTCGCTAAGTTGCTGAGGCTGGCCTTAAATTTGGAATCCTCCTGCCTTAGCCTTGCATTGCTGGGATCATGGGTGTGTTCCACCCCACCTGGCTAAGTTTCTTGATCAACTTATCAAGAAAGATTTCTAGGGGCTGGGGATGTGGCTCAAGCGGTAGGGCGCTCTCCTGGCATGCGCGCGGCCCGGGTTCGATCCTCAGTACCACATACAAACAAAGATGTTGTGTCTGCCGAAAAACTAAGAAATAAAATATTAAAATTCTCTCTCTCTCTCCTCTCTCTCTCTCACTCTCTCCTTAAAAAAAAAAAGTTAAAAAAAAAAAGATTTCTAAGATTTGAAGGGTGGAAAAGGGGTTACTTTGTGTCTGGGTCACAGCTAATTATGATCTAGAACTTCATGATTTTTCAGTAATTTATGATTATTTTTCTGGGTATGAATTTTAGGGAAGAAATGGAGAGACCACAACCTTGAAGATGATGACAAAAGTCAGGGAAGAAATCGAAGGTGAGTTGCCCTCACAAGAAAAGTCAGTCTTCCAGTCCCATAGCACTTCAAAAACAAGCAGGCAAAAGCAGTAAGCCCAGGGATGGGGCTGTGGCTCAGTGGTAGAGCACTTGCCTAGCAGATGTGAGGTACTGGGTTTGATTCTCAGCACCACATAAAAAATAAACAAATAAAGGCATTGTGTCCATCTATAACTAATACAAATATATTTTTTAAAAAGTAAGTCTGTTGTGGGGAGACTACTCAGAACACACCATGTCCGAGTTTGAAATAATTTGAAGGATTTTTATTTCACCTATTTTGCCAATTATACCTGGCCAGGGACTGAGTCTAACAGAGTCCAAGTGGCTGTCTGAAAGAACAGAATTTTCTGGCCTGTACCTTTGGAATTTAAGAACGAAAACCATGGCTCAGGGACTTTTCTTAGCATCATGCAAGCAAGCCAATCACAGAAAATAAAACAGCGGTTAGCAGAACAACTCACACAACTGCATCTTGGGATTAAGCAGGTGTTAGACAACTGTTTCCTGGGTTCAAGCAGGTGGTCAGTGGGAGTAAAAATCTACTTCAAAGTCATATAGGTCATCAAGACAACCATATCCTGGTTCCAGTACAGTTTGTGGGGTCCAAAGTACAGAAGACAATATAGTTTTTTTAATTTAGCAGAAAACAGCTTTCATTTTATTTTCTCAGAAATGGGTCCTGCAGCTGTCTCTTCATGGGACTAGTAACAGAAAAACTAAGGTGGAGACTAGAACAGCTGAGATGGAGTCCCTGTGGCCGCACCTGTTTGCTCATATAGCCATAGTGACTTCATTCTTGCTACTCCAGCAGGGAAGGAACTGTTACAAGTGCCAGGTAGTTTTACCATGGCAATTGCTTTACATTACCAGTATTAGTAACTTTTTTAAAAAATATTTTTATTTTTATTCTTTTTTTTTTAGTTATAGTTGGACCAATACCTTTATTTTATTTATTTATTTTTATGTGGTGCTCAGAATTGTGAACCCAGGGCCTTGCCACTTGGTGAAGAGTTTCTTGATCATCAACTTATCAAGAAAGATTTCCTAGATTTGAAGGGTGGAAGAGGGGTTACTTTGGTAAAAATGTTAGTCTGGGTCACAGCTAATCATACATCTAGAACCTCATAATTATTCAATAATTTATGATGATTTTTCTGGGTATGAAAAACCCAGAAAATAACCCAGTGCTTTACCGCTGAGCCACAATCCCAGCCCAGTATTAGTAACTTATTTATTGTCGGGGACCAGCTCCAACAGGGGGTCTCAGGAGACGAACGGATGGTGAGGAGTCGGCGAAAGAGGGGGTGGAGAAACAACACAGACACCAAAGTGAAGGTGTTGATCCCAATCTTTACTTGTGAAGTTGATCATATATACTTTTCATTTTGGCAGGCTCACAGTACTTTGTGGTTACAAAATAGGAATCATTATTCAAAGAAACAAAATATTACGTAGCTACAATTGGAATAGAAGAATGTATCTTGGCTTATGCATAAGCAAGCATTTGTACTTTCAGTTTGCGTTTTGYTTTGAGCTGTTTCTGCTTAGTTAACTTTTAATAATAGTTASAAATGTCCCAAACTATTGGCCTATACCTTGACTATTCTTYSTTGACTTACTGACTGGAACCGGTGCCATGGTTACGGCAAGTGGTTGACTTGTTATTACTTTTAATCAAACAAGAGTAAGAGCACAAACCATTGTGCACAGGAACAAGAACAAGTTGCCCAGTACTAAGCACTAATCTGTCTTCTTAACATTAATTTTTCTTCTCTAGATTTTAATTTAATTTCTCAAAAACTTCCTTGACAGGAATACAGGGAGTTTTTTCATTAGACATTAACAATTTACACTCCACAGCTGAATCATTGCATTTAGAGMAAACAGATCTATGCTTTAGAAGTAGTTGCATTAATTGGGAAAGTCATGATTTTTTCCTTCATACTTAATGGTCATATGAGAAATCGCAACTATACTTATTAAAGGAATACAAAAACAAATCATCCCATTCCCAGAAACATACTGTGCTCCTCCAGAGGATGGACGCCTTGTGCCATCCACCTCAGTAGGGCCTTGCCATTGCCTGAGTCAGGGGAGGGGCGCAGCAATTTATGCTTTCTTAAGACTATAGTTAACTTATGGCCTACACACACATATTTACTTATCATTTTATTTCTGTTATTTTATCAAAATCTTACTTCTGTAGTCTATAATCTATACCTATAATTTATTGATTATATTGATCAGTTCACACCACAACCAGTCCAGATTATAGTTTATTGTTGTCAGAAAATTTTCACCTAAAATGACTGTAAAAATGTCATAGATGTTCAGAGGCACCATGAGTGTAAACAATGTGGCAAGGTTTTTTTTTGTTCACTTCAAAACAGAGTTAGGAAACCCCATGGATAAGGATTCCTGTTTTGATATAGAGGTGGTAGAGTACTTTTCCAGAGCATTACATACATAAGTAATTTTTTTTTCAGTATTAGAAGTTAAACATAGGGACTTGGAGATGCTAGGCAAGCACTGTACCATTCAGCTGCACCCTATCCTTGTTTACTTTCAAATAGTTTAGACAGGGCAGGAAATGGATACTTTTTCTGAAAATGTTGAAATATGAACCTAACAACTGTTAAATATATGTATATGTATATATATGTATACATATAATTATTAATACAAAAGTAAAAAATAAAATATATATGTGTATGTATATATATAATTATTAATAAAAAAAACCTTTGACAATGTGATAATCATTTTTTTGTGAAAGTTATATGGTAAAGAGACCTTGTGGAAAGGAAAAAATGTAATCAAGGTAGAGAAAAAAATTTCATCCAGATTTCAAATCTCAGTCTTGCCAAGAAACTGTGACTTGTGCAACCCATGTAAATGTAGTATGTGTGGAAAAGTTCATGCATCTGTCATTCTTTAATAGGTGTATCCGATCTCATGCTGGGCACAGTCCATATGAGTATCAGGAATATGGAGAGAAGCTATATATATGTAAGAAGTGTGGTAAGAGTTTCATTTGTCGCAAGTTCTTCCGGGCACATGCAAGGACTCATACTGAAAAGAAAGCCTATGAGTGTAAACAGTGTGGCAAAGCCTATAGTTATCGCCATTGTCTACAGAACCACGAAAGTATTCATACTGGAGAGAAACCGTATAAATGTAAACAGTGTGGTAAAACTTTCAGATTACTCGCTTTCTTTCGAACACATGAAAGAACTCATACTGGAGAGAAACCCTATAAATGTAAAGAATGTGGGAAAGCCTTCCTTTATTATGAGACTTTTCAGGGACACATGTTCGTTCACACTGGAAGGACATCTTTTAAATGTAAGGAATGTGGGAAAGGCTTCGGTAGCATTGGAGCCTATCGGGGACACAGGAACATACACACTGGAGGGAAACGCCACCAGTGTAAGCACTGTGGGAAACACTTCCCATATTATGCAAAGTTTAAAAGACATGAAAGGAGTCACACTGGAGAGAAACCTTATCAATGTAAGCAATGTGGCAAATCCTTCAGTATTTCCATAGACTTTAGATGCCACGAAAAGAGTCATACTACAGAAAAACCCTACAAATGTACAGAATGTGGTAAAGAGTACAAGTATCCACAGAGCTTTCGATTGCATAAGAAAACTCATACTGGAAAGAATCTTCACAAATGCCAGGAATGTGGGAAATCCTTTGTTAGCTTTGCAGCCCTTCAAGTACACAGGAGAACACACACAGGAGAACGACCTTATGAATGTAAGGGATGTGGAAAGGGTTTCTTGACAAAAAGTCAGTGTCGCGTGCATGAAAGAATTCATACTGGAGAGAAACCCTATAAGTGCAAACAGTGTGGGAAAGCATTTAGATACTCCAGCTCCTTTCGGGTACATGAAAGAATCCACAGCGGAGAGAAACCCTATCGGTGTCAACTGTGTGGTAAAGCCTGCAGCAGTTCAAATGGAATTCGAGCCCATGAAAAAACTCACACTAGAGAGAGGCATCATGAGTGTAAACAATGTGGCAAGGCTTTTGCCAACTCCTATACTCTTCGAGTACATGAAAGAACTCATACTGGAGAGAAACCTTATGAATGTAAGCAATGTGGGAAAACCTTCACTTATTCCAACTGTCTTAAACTGCATAAAAACTCAAGCTGTATAGAAGCCCTCTGAATGTGAACTGTGTGGTACAGTCACTTCAGATGTTGCAATTATATTTGAGTACACGAGAGAAGTCACACCAGAGAAAAGCCCTGTGGAAGTAAACAACATAGGAAATCCTTCGTTTACTCAAGTGACATTGGAGAACATAGAAGATATCATGGGACAGAAACCTAGTGCATGTAAGCTGGTGGTAATGGTACATGCCCGTAATTCAGCCATGTGGGAGATTGAGGCAGTGGGATTCCATGTTCACAGCCAGCCTGGGCAATTTAGGGAGACCCTGTCATGAAATAAAATATGGACTGGAAATAGGTTCAGATAGGTATATGGAGCATGTGTAAAGCCTAGGGATTAATCCCCAGTAYCCCCCCCCCCCCCGCAACATAAAAGAGTAAAGGAAAACCTTATGCATAAAAACAACATGGAATAGCTAAGTACTTCTGGCTTTTTCTTTTTTTTTTTAATTTTTTTTCTTTCTTTTTTTTTAGAGAGAGAGAGAGAGAAAATTTTAATATTTTTTAGTTTTTGGCAGACACAACATCTTTGTTGGTATGTGGTGCTGAGGATCGAACCTGGGCCACACGCATGCCAGGCGAGCGCGCTACCGCTTGAGCCACATCCCCAGCCCACTTCTGGCTTTTTCAATTGCACAAACAAGTTCATAGTGGAAAGAAACTATGAAATATGAGGAATCTGGGAAATCCATCACACAACCTATGGAAGACACATGAGTATGTGTATTAGAAATGTTTTAAGTGTTAAGAATGTTGGAAATTTTTCAGTCATCATGGTTTTATTATTTTCTTTTTCTTCTCAGGACTGGGAATTGTCTACCACTATCTCCAGCCTTTTTAAAAAATTAAAACTTGGGGATGGTGTCACTGTGTTGCCCAGGCTGACGTTGAATTTCTGATTGTCTTGCCTCAGCCTCCTGAGTAGCTGGAGCTACAGGTGTGCACCATCATACCTAGCTAAAAGTTTTACAATTGCTTTCAGTCATTTGGCAAGTCCATCTGGACAAAAGTGCAGTAAATGAATTATGGAAAGCCTAATGCAAATCATTTCATCATATAATCTTCAGGAAGTTCATAGCATGGTTAGTAACATAAATGTTTTAAATATACTATCTTTATTTGTGGGCATTTTTTAAGTAGTTTTTTGTTGTTGATGTACCTTTATTTTTTATTTATATGTGGTACTGAAGATCAAATCCAGTGCCTCACACATGCTAGGCAAGAGCTTTGCCACTGAGCTACAGCCCCAGCCCCAGGCTCATTCTTTTTACCATGTTTAATTATTAAAATCTGCCAGAAACAAGAAAGTAATGTCATCAAGGCTTTGAAAGCATGATTTGATAGTGTTGTCTTCAATTTCCTAGTCATATCTTTAGCTTAACCGTCACTAGAGACCTGCAGATTCTTTAAGTGGGGTCATGAGTATTTGTAGACAAACATCAGGGTAGGTGCTCCAGTTTCCTGTACCCTAGAATAGTTTGTCATGTGCCCAGTTTGCATGAAAGAAATGCAGCTTCCCTGACACATGTTGATGTACCCAGGAAGGGTACTTGCAAAATTCATCATCCAGTGGTACCTACAGAGTGGGCCAGATGTTTTTATACTTGAGCACATCCTGGTGTATAGCTTTATACTATTGGGCTGTGGCCTCACCATCACAAATGACAATTTGGAGAATTGTATCCATCACCAAAATGGTTACAGTTTTCTGTCAGCTGTAATGCTGCTGTCCTAGAGCACTGACTCTGGAGGCATATGGAGTGGAGGGTGGGGCCTGGGTCAGATTCTACCAGGTGGAATGCTTTCTAAATAGAACTTGTACATTCTACCCTTGAACTCTTTTTTTTTTTAAAAGTGAATCATCTGCAATTATGCAAGCCCTTCAGGTACTTTATTTCGTGATACGTATTTTTTTAAGAGAGGAGAGAGAGAGAATTTATTTTTAATATTTATTTTTTAGTTCTCAGCGGACACAACATCTTTGTTTGTATGTGGTGCTGAGGATCGAACCCGGACCGAACGCATGCCAGGGGAGCGCGCTACCACTTGAGCCATATCCCCAGCCCTACCCTTGAACTCTTGAAGTAAACCTTCTAAGGCAGAAAATGAACTAAGAATATGGATAACAGGAATTTGATTAGCTAAAGTGGGTGATCTTTTTTTATCCTGTTGATTTTTTTTTAAATTCTGGGAATAGAACCCTGGGGCATTCTATCACTGAGCTACATTCTCAACCCTTTTAATTTAGAGATAGGGCTTTGAAAAATTGCACAGGCTGGCCTCAAACTTGGGATTCTTCTGTCTCAGCTCTTAAGTTGTTGCAACTGGAGGTGTGTATTACTGTGCCTGCCCTGTCAAAACTCATGTCAGTCCAGCTGCTGAAGTACTTCAGACCCTTCCTCTGCTTCCTGCCTAGAAAGCTCCAAGTTGTGCTGTCAACATGAGTCCATGTTAGTTTGAGAGCCTGAACCTGAACTTACTGAAGTGCCTAGCTCAGAGAAGTTATGGTCATGTGGATGTCTCTTGGTGTTGGTATGTTAATGCTGCATGACAAAATTGGATGGCATCTCTGCCTTCCTGGGACATGGGGGTATTGTGCTGATCACATCAAAGTAGATGCCAAGCATAGACATGGGTTCTGTGCTGTAGATTTTCCAATGACTTGCCACTGATAACAAGGTCACTTTCTGGCACAACAGTCATTTCACGTTCAGAGGTGCACATGAAGCAAATGACTCCATCAGTGTTGTTCCCCAGTGGTCTTCATATCAAAGCTGTACCATATCAAATCTGTATCCAGTTGGAAATCTCCAGAAATCTTGAACCATCTTTACATTCCAGGGATAAGTCTCACTGTGTTATGTTGAGTAATCTTTTTAAAATATGCTTCTTGAGATGATGTACTCATGCTTATGTAAGAATTCTTGAATAATATTCAAGAGATATTTGTCTCCAGTTGTCCTTGTAGTTTCTTTTTCTACCTCCTATGTCAGGGTCACTCTGGCCACACAGATTGAATATTTTTTTTCTTTTTTGCAATATGGAGGGTTGAGCCCAGGAAAGTGCTCTACCACTAATCCCAGCCCCCTCTCTCTTCATTTAGAGATGGGGGTCTTGCTAATTTGCCTAGTTTGGCCTCAAATTTGTGGTCCTCCTGCCTCCGCTTCCCAAGTTGTTGGTATTATAGGCATGTGCCACCATGCCCAGCTCACAGAGAGTGAATTTGAATGTTATATTAATCAGCTTTTCATTTCTGTTACCAAAATACCCAATAAGAACAGCTGAGAGGAGAAAAAAATATTTATTTTGGATCATGGTTTCAGAGGATTTAATCTAAAGTTAGCTGACCCCACACAGAAACATCAGGGCGGAAGGGCATGGAGGAGGAGAGCTGCTTAGCTCATGGCAGCTAGGAAGCAGAGGGAGAGGGAAGAGAAAATGGACCAGGAGGAGATAAACCCTTCCAGGGCACATCCCAGTGATCTTTTTCCAAGTAGATCTCACCTCCCAGAAGTTCATTCAGCTATCAATGGATTAATCCATCAATAAGGTCAGAACCCTCATAATTGACCTCTGAACTGTGCCACATTGAGGATCATATTTTTATCTTTTTGGTAATGGGAATTGAACCTAGGGGTGCTTTACCACTGAGCTGTATCCCCAGTCCTTTTTATTGTTTGAGACAGAGTCTCGTTAAGTTGCTGAGACTGGCTTGGTACTTGCTGTCTTCCTGCCTTAGCCTCCCAAGACACTGGGATTGCAGGTGTGTGCCACCACCCCTGGTTGGGACCATACTTTCACATGAGCTTTTGAAGGATATTCCAAATCTAAATCATGTATTCCCCCCTGTTCATTTTTTAAAAAATTTTAAAGTTTGAGGAGCATTGCTGTTCATTCCTTAAGTGTTGTATACATTTCACCAGCAAGACTCTTGGTCCCTGGCTTTATTTGTTGAAAAATTTAACTATCAATCTCATTAGTCAAGGTTTTGCTCAGATTTTCTATATCCTCATGACTGAGTCTTGGCTGTGTATTTCCACAATTCTTTCTACTTCATCTATGATATTTAATTTGTTTATGTACTCCCAGAGACTTAATTTTTTAAAAAAAAATTCCTGTGGTTGAACCCAGGTTTTGGTGTAGGATAGACAGGTACTGTACCGTGGAGCTATGTCCCAACCCTTTGGGGAAAGATAGGAGAAAGATTAAGGAGTAAAATTTTATTACTGTACCAGGGTCCTCTTATGAAAAAGTGTTAAGAATGTTTCAGCTTCAGGAAAATGCACCTCCTTTTGCTCTAAATTATGATATCTGTCAAAATGGTACTTTTTGTCTGCAGCTCATTTCAGTATTCCTTGGCTTATTACCCTGTAAAAGTCCATTATTCTGTGTGGTGTTTTCTGTGGGAATCCCAGTGGACATGTGTAGATATTGCTCTACTCATAGGAACAATCCAAGATGTGCTAGCACTTCAGAAATAAGCCTAGGAGGGGCTGGGTGTGGCTCAGTGGTAGACCACTTGCCTCTCATGTGTGAAGCACTGGGTTCAATTCTCAGCACCGCATATAAATACATGAATAAAATAAAGTTCCATCAACAATAAAAAAAATTTATAAAAAATAATTCTCAGAATTTAACCAACAAAGTGCAAGTTTCATGGTTTAATGAGGTCTGTATCATATCACTTAGTCTATATAACAACAAATTGGTAATGCCAAACTAAAATTTTATTTTCCACGTGAATTTGAATTTTAAAATTTAAATTTATTTTTCCAAACCTTTTTTTTTTTTTTTTTAATAACATGGAGTCTTACTTTCTTGCCCAGACTGGGTTGACCTCCTGACTCAAGTGATTTTCCTGCCTCGGCCTCCTGAATAACTGTGACCACAGGCAGTCTAACATACCCAGCTCAGATACAAAATTAAAATCCTTTCAAATAACATTCAACAAAAACATTAACACCCCAGTAACCCATAGCCTAAATCAATAGAAAATCTCCTGTTCATGTACAAACTCATGATCATGTATTACATGCCCTTAAACTTTTAACCATGGCAAAACCAAAGATGAACTGTGTTTACACTTTA